ACTCAAGAAACAGCAAAACGCTGTTAAAAAGTTTGCCCTATAAGAAATCATTAAAATAAAAAAAATCGATTTTTTTGGTAATTTCAAAGGTCCGGTGTCCCCTTAATATACTAAGAGAAAATGTTTAATCTCGCAATATTCTATTATTTTGGCAAATTATAAGAAAACTAAATAAACAAAGGCTAGTAAGAGCTAGATCTTTTACTAATCTTTATTTATTTAATTTTCTTATTTTTCCATGTAGAACAGTTTAAAGAATTGTTTACATTTTGACGCATAACTACTAAACCACAGACAGCCATTACACATCCCGTAGTTTTACCGCATTGTGATGACCCGATAGCAACAACATTTAATCCTTTTTTTATAGCCGGCCACACGTAAGATTGGATTTTTCTCGGTCTCGTGGAATTTATACACGTATTCCAACCCTACAACAGAAAACATTTTATATTTCTATAATAACTAACTAAAATAATATATTTGTTTGATATTAACATAGAAGACACAATACATTTTTGTAATGGATATTAAATTATTCTCGTAATATGTATATATAAAATTTATCGAATAATATACCTTATGTACTCCTTTAGGAAAACTAAGATCAGTAACATCGCTCAAAATTCCACAGTTGTTCCTACTTTGTATTAAAACTTTTTCACTGAAAATGAAACAAGAAGTGTGAAACAAGATAAATGAACTTTCTTTTAGAAGAAGAAAAGCCAAGTAAAATATTCTTACATGTGTCTGACAGAACAATGCTTCTGAACTTCACCAACAAGTTGATTTGCATTCTTCTGCCGATTAGATGAAAACTTTGCATATATAATAATGTCTTCTTCCGAACTTTCTTGTTTATGATTGGAAGTCTCAATGAGTTGAAATAAATCTAAACACCAGTCATATTTTAAGGCATATTACATAGTACTTTAATATTAATTAATCAAGTACCTCTTAGATAAAAAATATAATAATATTAATGTACCTTCTTCCAAATAAGTTGCATAATAATTTACAACTAAGGCTTCACTTAATGATATAATAAGATCATCAATGATAAGATAAAATTCCCCGTATTCTCTCCCATTCACTTCATCTGTAACTAAATGATCGAAGTACACAGCACTAGAAGCTACCAGAATATTCTTCACAAACAGAATCGCTTCTTCGCTCCATTCCTCTACAACACTGTAAATAGCAGCTACATCTTGAAACATATTTCTAAAAGGATGCCATAGCTATTATCATTAAATCTTACACTGCTGTGGATTTATTTTTATATCCATTTGAAGAAGAACTTGTAGTTGGGACGTTTTTCCTCATACGAATTGGCAATATATTGAATATACCAATAGTTTTTGTCAGATACTTTTCAGGGATAAAATCTTTTGGAACTTTATACATTTTATCCTTGTTTAGCTCAATGCTAATACCATGATCCACTAGAAGGACATTGTACTTTCCATTTTCTTGTTTAATATGAGTTATCAAACCACGACAAAGATAGGATGGTAACTCTGCTACACCAGTTTCATGATTACTGCTTTGTATAAAAACTACCTAGAATAAATATTAGAGAAGATATAAATGATGTCTTATATTGACTGAAAAATATATATTAACTTCATTAATTACAGAGTGGGTCAATAATTCTACACGTAGAAAATTGAAACGAGGGAATTTTAGAGTTTTGCGAAATATGAATTAAACACATAAAAACATTAGTTTTATTACAAATAAAGGCATAAAGATTGCATGAGTCAATCCGAGTCCTCACCATGAGTCAATCTGAATCTTTATAATTTGATTATAATTTCTCAAATATTTTATGTTTGAATATAGGGTAAGTATGAAAACCCTAAAATATTTCAGGAGTGGCGCACTTTGCCAAAAAAAAAAATGGTCGAGACAAAAGTCAAAACTTAGCTCCGAAGAGAAACTATATACCTAAAAAGGTACCACCCTCCCTCAACCATGAGATTGGTTCATCTCTGCCTCCCACATCTTAGTAGAAGTTGTCACCTTCATCTCACTCAATTTTTTTTTAATGTTTAAGATATTTTTACATAAGATACAAAATATCTCGTAAAGCTTCAATTTTCCTGTGTTTAAAACAGCAGCTATTTCAAGGAAAAAAAAATTCAACGACTTTTCCCATATAATTTAAATATCACAAAACATAGAAATCTTACATCACCAATACTTAAACTTTCCGTGTCATTTTTGGAAGAAGTTTGTTTTCTAATAAAAGAACATAATTGCGCATTGATTTTACTAATTTTTTCCTCCCGTTTTGCAATATCATAAGCTCTCATGATATATGGACTCTGCACATTCATTATTTTAATTCCTCTAGCTGTAGCAGGAACACCTAAAAAATCATATAAAAAATACAATATGAACATATTTGCAAAATATTTACACTTGTTAATTTATCATTGCTATAAATTATTAAGTAGATCTACAAATATTACCTTGATGATTTGATTTCTTTATTTCAATCATTTTGTTTGGTTATATCCACTTGTATAGATAATATAAGTTAGTATATCTAAAATAGTCATGAATTCTATTAGAAATATTTGTCTTTTCCTGATTTCTTATTGAGCTCAAGTCACTTCACTTTCTTATTAATAAATGATTCACTTTCCTATTTATTATATACTATTACTTTTATATTATATAAGCTTAAGTTATTATTTTATTACATGTTTATCTCATATACACTATGTATTATTTATTATTATATTGATTTAAGTAGTTTACATGCTTGCATCTGTACATGTACAGCTGTTTTTAGAATGTTTTTTGGAGTATCTAACGAATTTAATAATAAATTAAATAAATTATTTTAAAGATTACCAACAAATCGTAAAATGTTGGGAAAGTAGAATATATAACTCAGTCTAAAAAAATTTAGGTATTAATAAAAAATTTTACCTTCTTCAAAATATATTTTTTGGCAACACACTCGCACGGGGAGAGAAATGTAAACTTTAGGTTTAAGTAACAATTTGAGTTATAAAAAAATCTCCCTCTCCCTCCCTTTCTATTTGGCTCCGGGTACTCAAGAGAATGTTAGCCCCAACGCTAATGTTTACGAAAGAATAAGTATGCAAGCGTACCGCCGAGGTGGAACGACTTATCCAAAAAGACGACGAACAAACTCGAGATATCTTGACCAAAATTAATTACAACATTAATACAGCTAAAATGGTTAAAAACTAGAGACTTCAAACTTTAAAGTGCTTCTTGATAGCATCATTATTGCGAAAGTTGCAGCCTGTTAAATTTCGCCTATATTTTATTACAATGTAACGCGCCCCTGACCAGCTCTCGAGTCATACTATTTGAGAAGTACGTCTGACTCCATCATATCACAACCTCGGTTGCTCGTTAAGTATAGTGGCGACTCGTAGCGGAAATCCTGGAACTAAATTATTAGACCCGTTAATTTAGTTCCAGGATCTCCGCTACGAGTCGCCATTATACTTAACGAGAAACCATGATATGACTAAACGATGGAGTCAGAGGTACTTCCCAAGTAGTATGACTCGAAGGCTGGTCAGGCGTACTTTCCATTGTAATAAAACATAGACGAAATTCAACAGGCTGTAACTTTCGCAATAATGATGCTATCGAGATTATTCAAGAAGCACTTCAAAGCTTGAAGTACTTAAAGCAAGAATTTTATATCATGGAACAATCGGAAACGGAAGATTTCTCGGGGGATTAAACTTCGGATAATAACGGTACATCCTCCGATACAAATGAGAAAATGCATTTATTCTCGTACGAAAAGAATACAAAAAAATTACAAGAATTACATGTATATAATACTAAATGTATTACCACCTACTTCGAGCTACCAATCGGTTCCGCTTACGGTGAATCGCGTAGCACTACAATCGCGGCCGTTAACAAGAAGGGGATAATCGGTTAATGTGTAATTATAAATAAATGTGCGAGAGAGAGAAAGTGTAGAGGGACGAGTGCACGGTGCCGCTCGTGTAACACCGCCGTGGTCTCCGTTCCTCGCGCTTTTCCCTTCGACGCACGACGATAGTCTGCTTGCCCGAGAGTTCGCCGCGGTCGTCTTTCACAAACGGATCCCTGGGTTTCGGGACGCAACAAAGTTGAGGAGCTCGTCGCTGTCCTCGCACACGAAAGGCTTCACATGATGACACGCCACGTCGTGCCACTTGATGCCGTCGTTATAAAAGTTGTTCAAGATGGACAGGCAGGACTCGTCGTTACCCTGCAAAAAAAGAAACGAGGAAATCACTCATTTCCTCCGGCTTATTTAATTCACGGATTCCTCTCCCGAGATGGAAGACGATACCGCTCGCTCAATTATTCAAGTAATGTGAAATTGAAGCCATCTTTCTTCGAAAGATCACAAAGATTACTCACGTAGTCTTTTAATAATATTCTTTTCGAAGTTGACACTCGTGGAAAAACGCGACCTCAAACACTTTCTATGTAAAATTTGTGGCAAAGTTAAGAGGGGGGAGCGAGCCGATAAAAATTACCGATGCGAAAGGTCACATATAAGAGCGACGATAAATCTAAAGATGCCAAAGTACTTTCACTTTACCCCACGAGAATATAAATCAGAGTTTCACGGGGTCGACGTCAAAGGAAAGCGTGTTAGAGCCGTTTGGCCCGCTTTTAGCGAGGATTCTCCCGACGATGCTCCTTCTGTTCCCGAATTTACGCAATTTATCATCCAACATATCTTCGTCATAATGCTCTTTAGCTCTTCTATCAATTTCTCACCAAATCTATAAAAACACGAGCGGATGTTTCGGCTTTTTCTTAAAAATAGGAAAACTGTCAGTTTTTTCATCATAGAGAGAAATGTGTCAAGTGTTTACAAACGAACGCATATAGGAATGTAAAATCAAGCGATTAAACCTTGTTCATGTGTACAGAGAAAAAAATTATTCCACTGCTAAGAAAAGCGATTATTTTCCTGTTAAAAATTTTCAGGTGGATGGAAAAGAAGATATCGAAGCCATACCTGCGCAGCCTCGCGATTGTCCGGCTGTGGCTGACCGTATCCTCCAGTGTTGCTCCAGTCTCCGGAGTTTCGCTGGGTCGTCGGTCCAATCTTGGCACCAGATCCAGACCAGAACCATCCGTTGATGTTCTGGGGCTGGAGATCAGGTCGGTCGCAGCCGTTGAAGTTACACTTACGCCCGGACGTCCAAATGTATCTCACGTTTCCTAACAAAGCCGATAATGTAAGATACTGATATCAAAAATCGTATAAATTTGCTCAGTACAAAGTTTAAATAAGGAAGCAGAAAATGTATAATACATAGCTCAGCAGAGAAAGCAACCGTTGTAAAATTCGTGAATCTCATGTTCCTTAATCTTGATTGAAGAGCATACAACAATTACAAAACTACTTTTTCTCTCTGCTGAATGCAGCTAGTAAGAACAGTTACTTGGTAAACGGAAGATTCGATCGAGTCTGTGTTTTTCATTTCATATAACACTAAGAATGGACATCTGCAGCCTCAACCATTTCCTTCCACAGTATGATTGCTAACAATTGTAGAGCAATTTAATCATTATTACTGGAAAATTAGTATCTACTATCTCAATATTGGAAATCGATAATTTCTGGTACTTTTGCAATATTTCATCTCAGTATTCCAGCATTCGAGCAGCACAAATTGTTTGACTAACCCAACGTTGGCCAAACGATACGCTCGGGCCAGTATCAAATCAATATTGGCATTTTTACTGTTCATTACTGTATATTGCTATTCATCGCTAAGAATCGATTATCGAGCCAGTAGCTCATTTCCTACTTGGGAAGTGTCCAAAGGCTCAAACATAACGGAACTCCGTACGCAGTAACGTGGTATATCTTACCGGGTGCAACAAACGATCACGGAAAATGCAAACGAATCCGCGGCAAAAAGCCTAAGCCGCTATTGTCTTTCTGTTTGAACAACGACGATAAATTATACCGTAACTGACCTATCAGTCTCTAAATGACCACCGACACGGACGTCCGCGCGACCCGACCGGAATTTCTTTCAGTCCCCTGTTGAATTATCGGAAATAAAATGATGGGCGTTCATAAACATCAGGCGAAGCGCGACTTAACGGCTATCATTCCCCTAATAACGCGGGATGTTTTAATTGAATAATGCACCGAGCGATAACATAAACCTCGTCTAAAATGTCATATGTGTGAGTCGCGGTATTATTATCATCAACAGAGAAATTACTAACTGCGGACATATCTTCGCGTGTAACCACTCGCGACGTCCCGCGGTAGACCTTAATTTTCAGGGATGTATTTGGAAGATAATTCAATATAATTAACGACGTCTCTAACGTCAATAAGACATCATTAAAACGTCATTTGACGTCACTTTGCAACTTGAACAGCTATATTCATAATTTCCAGAAATAATTTTCAAATATTTTAGCATAAAATTATGTGAAATTATGTTTATAGATGTTAAAAACAAAACGTGAAGGTAAACATTGAAAGAGATATTATTAAATTAGTTGCATTAATGTATCAAAACTTCTTCGATATGATCCCGGGCGAAATAGTTTTTACGTATAATTAAAATAATATTTTTTTTCAACACTCCTGCAAATTTTGCGTCCCTCCTGATCCGTCTGTGCAATAATATCAGAAATCACTTGCAACCAAACTAAAGGAATGTAATTTTTGTTTCTAAATTATTTAATTACTAAATTACTTTGAATAACATAAAAGAATTTTATTGAAATATTATCAAAGTATTAATATTTTTCTTTCTAATACCACGTCTTTTCTATAGGATGTCCCATTTTAAATGGCTTTAAATAAAATTTTTAATTAACATTTCATTTTTTACAGTATATTTTTGTCGGAATCGGAAGAATTAAAAATTACATTCGAATTAGTATTTTTTAGATACCTCTCTAAAAGAGAAAGACAGATGTATCTCCGTCTCAAATGGACAGAGAGGAAAACAGCGATCATTGCTCGGGCCAAAGCAGACGGAGGCAGCGATGTAACGCTCACTTTAATGGCAACAAATCTCTCTCAGAAGACAAATCGTTAAATCCAAAGTACGCGCAATCCCTTTCACGTCGGTCGGTTGGATTTTCCGCACGGGTCATCGACGGTCAAGTGAAAGTGACCCGCCGCTTCGGCATGTATAGGGGCACATATCTAGTCACCCGCGAACGTAAATTGCAACTTAAATTCCTCGCTGATCAGCCGAAAGAGAGAGAGGGTCATGCAAGGTCACAAGTAGAGGAGAAGAGTTGCGCCACAGGCGAATTGACGTACGCGCCTGTAAATCGGTGCTACCCCCGCGAAACTTAATCGCAACGATGTTGTGCAACGACATTTGTGCCTAGAAATCGAGAGAATTAGCTTTTACTTCTCACGCGCGGGCTCCACTTTTGTGGCTGTCCCCCGCGGCGGGTCTCTGAACGAAACGAGAGGACGCGAGAACAGTTGCCAAATAATAATATTCGCTCGCGAGTAATGTATGCCCCGGCGTTAATGAGGTCCGATTCTGACAGTAACATTAATACAACAATATTGTAATTTCCCACTCAACGATGTAACCACAACGCATGTTATATAGTACTTGTCGTGAGTGAAAAACATTGACGTAAGTCCGAACAGGTGTGACAAGTTTTTTGCTCGAAAGCACGTTGACATCGCGATTTGTAAGTGTTATCGTGAAAGCGCCTTTGATGAAAAATTGCATTATATATTTCGTTGCTTAGAACAAAAAACCTGAAAAATTATATTTTCTCAGAGTAAAAATGTATTAGCATAAGTAAATATTAGTATGAATATTTCTTGTTCTTTAGGTATTTTTCTCTCAATGCATACACGTGACATTTATATGAGGACAATTTGGAGTTAGATAGCCAGGTTTAGTACGTTCTCAGGAGATTTGACAAAATATGACTGTATTATCGGATTCCTTTCATTCTTGGAATCGCTCACTTACAGGTTGGCACAAATTCCTGTGTCAAGCTAAACTCAATTACACATATCCATTTTCATGATAATGACCAGACGAAACGCTTCTTATGCAAACTTGGGGCGAACGCCAAGCGAGCGTCCAGAATAAGGCCTCCTCTCCTGAGAGATGACGAGGTTGCGATACACGTCGAATCTGCAATTTGTCAGAGTCGCCTGTATCGAAATGAGCGATTCGCTTTTCCCGGCCATCAAAGGAGTCACTCTCCCTGGGTGAAGGGGTATCACGTGCCTGAGAACCGTTTGAGAACGACGGATCTAATCGTCGACAGTCTCACCTCTCGCTACTCTCTGCTTGATGTATTCGTTCTCCTGCGGGGTCTCCAGGGACACGGCGTCCATGCAGTGACGACGGCAAATGTTGCGAGCGTCTAGCCAGTCAACTTCGAGACTTCTGGTCGGCTGATGTTCCCAGCTGAAGAAATACGAGTGAACGACCCCCCTGCCATCCCTGTACGATGCGTGACGAACACCTGGATAATAAACACGTCAATGATCGTATTTTATTACTGAAAGGACTTTGACATCAATTCATAGAAATCTATCGTAGCTTGAACGACACGAAATATGAATTATATTGAACGCGCGCACGCGTCCTTTCGTATCATTCAAATAATGAGTTCACCGACTACAGTGAATTCGAAGCATTCTGATGAATGTGTCCTCTCTTTTCTCTTGGTTTCCCGTTATCTTCCACTTAGTTAGCGCATAGATTACGAAATGTCGCTGGAAATATACTTACGGTTCGCGCAGCTCCGCGGATCGGGCAAGGCTAAACGACGCTGGGCGCTGACGGCGACGACGCCGAGCAAGAGCAAGCAGAAAGTCCTCATACTCCCGGACCTGTCATAACCGAAATTTCGTAAGACCTCGTATTACCGTTTGAATTTTTTTTTCATCCGGCGAACACTTCATTCTCCGCGTGAACACTTTTTTTCTTTCCGATGTTGCCGAAGGATCGCTCTCGGAATTTAATCAACGATATACCATCAACGGATAGTTGATTTTGAAAGATATAGTATTAATTTGACGAAATTTTGCACGCGACCGCGCTTCAATGGAATGTGAATTTTGTTTGTAATTATCAACGGCTGTTGACGCGGAAATTATTTCGCGGAAATTCTGCAGAAAGAAGAACGTGTTCCAAAGAGAACAAAAGAGCTCCCACGCTTCAACGATAATAAAACTTCGTACTACTTTTTCATGCACGATGTAGTTACGCAAATATTAAACTTCTCGCCTTCGCTTGTTTCTAATTACGGGAAAACCGACACTTTTCACGCTACTATCGACGTTCGCGATTCCCGCCTGTTGGAAAATACTCACTGTAAAGTGTAACGACAGGCAATCGCGCAAAAATCAGAGCGCACGACGGCGACACTAAGCGATGTATCATACACGACATACCGGATAACATTACGGAATTTGTAGGAAAGTTGACAATCCCTCGGAACGGGAACGCTGAACATTTGCCAACGCCATTGAGTGTTTAGCGGTTCGAGGTTACGGGGTTACAAGGCTTTTATGATGCACGCATGTGCTGAATCTGCAAGGCGAAGTCGTGAAAATTTTCGACACAATTCCACTTGACGGCTCTCTCGCTCAAAATTACGAGGATTAATATTTTTGCCCATTTAAAGTTTTCCAATATCATTGAAAATATTATTCAGATTAATATGTAACGTGAATCTCAGAAAATCGACAATTTGATTATGCAGACGCTTGATTCACACACTTTTAACGTATTTGCATGGTCAGTCGCAAAAAGTTTGCAACACTTCAAGTATTGGAAGGCATTCCGTGTTCAATAGGAGAACTTATTTCTTAGTAATTTTCAGCAGATACATTTTCCCATTGGATACGATATGCATCGAAGGAAAAGTGTGACCGACCACAACTGACTGATACACAACTTTACTACTAAGAAAAGCGATTACTCAATTTACTTTCTTTCTTTTAAGTAACATAAATATAATAATATAATTATCTTCAACTAAAAGTATTTTCTTGATAATAGTCTTAAAACATACTCATCACAAATTTAAGAAAAATTCATTATGACGTGCGCGAAAAAAGGATTTATTCTCTTTCCAAGAATATTATAAACTTTATCGAAGAAAAATTAAATTCGGTTAATTTTGAATAAACAAATCGACATTTCTTCTAATTTAACATTATTAATTTTGAAATGCCACACTTACTGTAAAATGTACTTCGAATGAATTTGATGCTTATGATGAACTTATGGTATATTCCGCGGATATATATGAACTTATGAGATATCCAAAACAAATGGCATTTATTCGAATGTATTTTTCTGTCTGTACCAGAATGTTAACAGAATTATTCTTATGTGCATCGCTGTCGGGACGGCGCGACTTTCACTCGCGTAACATTTCAATGAGCTACATCCCGCGGATTTACCATCGAACTGGCTCGATTTAAAGTGAAGCCAGTCTGGATTATGACTTCCAGATTGATTTGGCGCGTCACGTAAACGTCGGCGTTTCGTGATGGTTTTGCTGATGCCTATCATCGGTTCGGCGGGACGAACCACTTTCTAAGGAGATCAAACGAACGGCCGTTGCAGAACGTCGCGAGCGTCTGCCACGAACTGGTAAAAAAACGGCCGCATACTCTTCCGAATCATCACTTCGTTCCGATCGCTGACGATCATCGGAAAGCGATATTTTGCACGCTAGTGAAAGATCTCGAAGAAAAGAGGAGAGTTCGTGTTTTCTGGTGGTCGCACATAATTCAATTTTCACCCGAATTCGAGCCGGCTGCGGTATGATTTCTCCCGTGAAAACTCCGAGCACGGTAAAAGAAGGTGTTTGTTAAATTTTGTGTTTTTTAACATGAGTTGAAAAGTACACAAATATGTGTTGGAAGTACGTAAATGTTTAATTTACTCATTAACACATGTCGATATTTAACATTAGCTTAACGTTATTTACTTTTTAACACGTTAAAGTGACGTAAAATTTCAGTGGACCGTTTTTACTACAGAATATTTGACTGCGAGGCTTTCACGAGCGCGCGACCGGGAGAAATGCTCTCTTATCGATTATATTTCGTCCGTTTAACTTGGCGTCGCCGAGTTTATACGAAAAACAGCAGATAAAAGTTCACGTTGGACGCTGGAGAGAGAGGCTGCCGAATGTATAATTTAGCTGCCACGGCCGTCGTACATCAACGACACGTTCCTTTTACTCATGCCGATAAATTATAAAAACAATGAACAAGTTTTCGCACAGTGACGGAACTTGACGAAGGTGAATGGCGCGCTTTAGCATAATCGTATAAATATTCATCGAAGGCACAGACGACGATGAAGCGAGGATGAACGATAGGATAGATCTTCCTCTTTCTTCCTCTTCTCGTCGAATCTGAGAGATCGGAAACATACCTAACTGCCGATCGGAACGGAGTAAAATCACGCGGAAAATCGCGTCTTTTCTTATTTACGGTGGAACGATCGTCCATCGACAGCCTCGTTTCCCTCGCGTGCGGCCGCCAATTAGATGGAAGCGTAGGAGTTATCCCGACGCCGCGTAATAACGGAGAACACTTGTTAAATGTGTGTGAAATGGAGTGTCCAGATTGAAAGTTAATAACTCGACTCGTTAGGAATAGAGGTTGATGGGTTATGAGAGAGCGGGGTGATATTTAAAGCGAGATAAGTAGCGCGCGTGATCGATCCGGGGGCCGGGGCCAGGTGGGAGAACGAACGAACGAAATTGTCGAGCGGGGAGATAAGATCATCGATATCTGTCATTGCGTACTGATAACATCACGCAAAGGTGCGTCCATTATCCCATTATATTAATCGACGATCCCTTTTCGTCGGCGTTACAAAACTTCTCGACGTTGCGTCATCCTCGAGCTCTCATCACCTGCTCGTCTCTTACGTCAACCCGTCCTTTTCTCTCGGGGTTGTTCCGATATCCCGGCGAGAGCGACAACGTGCGCGTAATTTTTCCGACGGGAGGCGCGTACTTTCGCGACGCTCTCTCGACCGAGCGAACGGATTCGGTTATTATCGAGTCTGGTTGTGTAAATCCCCTTGCGAAAGAAGTTTTCCGAACGCAAAACGTGCCTCATTATAGCGTCTTCAGTATATCTACGCACGCAATTTTCCTCGACAAAACGTGCACGGTCGTTTCCCCTTTTACCTTGCGTCTTACAACGCAGCTTTAATAGACTTAACGCGTCATCACCATCAAACGGTATGTTCGCAAGATGATTTATTTTATATCGCGCAATTTGATTTTAAGACCGCTCGGCTCAACCATTTCTTTTCCTTTTTTTTCGGTAAAATTTTTTGTGACTCTTATTGCTGCGATTGTTAGAACGTAAAACTTACCGCTCCATAATATTTAAATTCGCCGATTCTAGACATAGAATTCTCGATAGCGATCTACATAACTCCGCTTAATTCTCGCGACTACAACAAGGATACAGATAATGCAATGTTCTGAAGCAAAGAATTAAAGATCCAGTCGGGTGTGTAATCTCTGGAAAGGCATTTGTAAAGGACCACTTTTTCAAGAACCTGTTCGTTGATATATATACTCTACACATATACACCTCGATCGTGTTGAGTAACTTACGCACGTGTAGTAAAAGAAAAGATCGACGGGGTCCAGTGACTCCTGTGGTATTCTTAATGTTGATCGGCTGAATCGATCTGGATGAGAAAATCAACTCTTAAATTTAATTTAATCTGAATCATATTAAATTGAATGAAACTGCATTTTAAATTAAATTAAAACGAGCTAGAAAATAAGAAAAAAAGAAGTATTATCATGTCATCTGAATAGTGGAATGAACTCGCAATTATGCAGCGGAATTTTGCATCCCATGAGAGCACGCAGTTTAACTCGAAACGTAATTCTTTCATTTCTCACTTTTTCTCGTGAAGCTAATCGCGCTGCTTTAAAGTACCTCCTACCGACTGAGATAATTCTCACGTGTTTTATCGCCTCATCGTTTCTGAACGCGGAAGCAACAAGCCTTACAATGTATACATCTTCGACATGACGCAACGATGACTAATTAATTTAAGATACGCGCAAACTCGTCGCGCCATGTTCACCATTAATATTTACTCCTTGGAATTTGAGAAACATAGGTGCGCCCTTTTCTACATTCTTAGAAGCAACCGACAATTATGTAACAACAATTAAAGCATCGTCACTTTTATGTGGGAACGATCGTGTTGACAGGGTGGTGTAGTGAGAAGCGTGTGTTGAAAGTTACGCAAAATCCCATTCCTCTGAGAAGACTTTGTGGAACAAATTGCACACATCTCCGCCTTCTCTCGCTTTTCCCATGCAAAAAATATTCTGAAGAGTTTTCTTCGCGGTCGAGCTGAGCAACGGCAAATTGCAGAATTGAAGGTGCGCAAAGCACTCGTCTGCCCGACGCACGGAGCAGGATTGCCACCTCAGTTTGTCCGCTCACTCGAAGATTGGCAATGTGAGATCTCTCTTAAAAAAGAAGGGACGATATGTTAATGATAAAAATAATAATATGACGCACCAAACTTCAGATACTTTAAACTTTTATTTTTTTTAATAACGACGCTTTCTAACAATATGCTTCGCTCTGAGATTCATAATATCTTTATATTTCATACTCAGACAGCATAATATCCAAAATCGGGACATATTTAAGACGTCTCACTTACAAAAGTCTTTAAGATGTCCGGATTTCATTGTGCTGTCCGGATATCGTAATTCATGAAATTCTAATCGTTTATATGTTTCGCCGTATCAACCCGGAGATTTTCTCTCTCGGCCGGAAATCCCTCGGGCGAAAATCGAAGAAGTGACAACCCT